ATTGACTGCTATAAGGGCAATATTATCTTTTTTTCCCGAGGTGTTATAAGTCACCACATATAGTCTCGCGGAGACCGTAATTCGAGTGAATTTATGCTATTGCCCAAAAAAGCCAGTTTGATATCCAACTTGAATCATGAATGATTTTACGCTGACCAATGTGTTTGCTATTATTTGCCATGATCTTAAAAATTACGTTTCCTCAGAAGTGTTGATTAGTTGAGCTTAGAATATATTAAGTATTACCACAGACCATGGTTCTAGTCATAGCAGTACTCTGTAATCGGCCCTGGATCTGCATAACAATATGATACATGTATATATTTCGGTTAGGAAAGTATACACTATACACAATATTCATTACGATCTATCTTGCTTTCTAATGTTTTAGTGTTACGCGACTGCATTTTCCACAGCTGTGGCTATCCATCAGTCGGCTTACCAGTCTTAAAAGTGGGGGTAAACAAGCAGAAATGTGCGATATCACCAAGGATTAGTCGTTCAAAACATACTGATTTGTCTACCATGCTGGAGTTAATTCTATGTACGATAGTGTATGTTTGCTAAAAAAAAAAAAAACATGCAGTTAACCCACCTAAATCGCACACGAACATCTCGAACATAATATACTCTTAATAAATTGTCATTATTATAGTAATTCTTTAGTAACCGAGAAGTATTCAGTATTCACACATTTTGATTTGTTTCCATTTGAATTTCTGACAACAGATTCTATGATGTCATACTTTACCCATAATCCTTTGCTTGAAAATCAAGATGGCTGACTACATAAAACTGACGAAAAGTTGAATATCTAGAGAATGAAAACTGTAAATTGCATTCTCCTACATTTGTGGAGCTTTTTCTTTAAAGGTCATTATGTTGTTTGGATTGATGTTTCCTTTAAATTACAAACTCGCTCATACCAACTATATTTTAATATCACTGTCCGGGTTAGGGTGCTGACATTCGAATTCCGGGCATCGAATCTCTCTCTGTGAATGCAACAATTTGTTGACTTGAACTGCGTGTGAATCCTGAAGCGGAATCTTTGATGAGACTCATCTTCAGGTTTCACAGTTCATAGTGAATACATGTATATGGAGCACAGTGACTGTATTGCCAAGTATCAAAGCAATATTTTAATCAGCGATCACTTGGTTTTACTCCATTTTTACAGTGTGACAATGCGTGTTGAAATGAATGTTTTTTGAAAAGCGAGAGTGTTCAGGTATGCTAATGAGGGATGGGGGAACATGGTTCAAATCTTTCTAAAATTATTCCAACAGTTATAACATGCGTATAAGGTTTAGAAATCGTCTTGGTGAACTTATCACGAACTGCCTGTCTGTTCAAATTCAAGTAACACGATTCATCTCAAATCTGAATCGCTTCGCCTTTGAACTTCGAGAAGGCTACCTGAGATAGACTCTTGGCAGTGTACATTAGGCACATTTGACGAAGAATCTGTTATATAAAAAAAACTGGCTGGTAGCTAACATAATATGATATCGGATTGCGGGTTTATTGTTTATTTCTTTCTTCTATTGAATATGTCATTGAAATTCGTCGTCATTTCAAATACACGTGGCTTGCCGATGGCAACTGTTTTGTTATTATGGTACTGATAGGAAGGCATCAACAGAGTTCAAGACCTCGATTGACAATTTGCAGTATTTTTGTATTTGGTTCTATGTATGAATTGCAATACGTACATGGTCGTCATCTTCTAAGACAAATTAATATCTACAGTTATTCTTAGACAAACAGGTCAGGTCACTAGTGTAGTTGAAAGTACGAGAGGTCAACGGTCAATGTCTAATAAAGATTATATTGAACCGGTACTCGCATAAGATATCGTACGTGGTATTGCGCTATGCTTTAAATTCATAATAAAAACATGGGAACATGAAATATGGGTGCGTACACGCACATACAAACGGTGAAACTAAAAAAATACTATACGAAAACAGAATAGAAAATTTAATTAACAGCTTTATATATTTATGTCAAGTACATTTTAAATTACACGTCGATGGTCGTCGCTCAGCGCCTCGAAATTTTACGGCGACCATCGTCGTTTGATGTGCGCGAGGTGTCCGAGTTGACCTACATCGTACATTTTGTGACACGTGTCAAACCGTGTAACAGATACAGTCTGATCAAGTGTTTGTTGGCTTGTTATTGCGGTATTACTAGCTGCATTACACAGTTGATAAGCAGCCAATGTTTATTCAATACTCACCATACCGACAGACCCTAATTCTACATCAGCACAATCGTGTTGACACTCGCAACCGTTGATATGTGCGTATTTAAGTAACTGGACTTTGATACTGTAGCTAGGTTTGGTACAAAACAACACTCCCGTCATTTATTATGGGGAAAAACACGGCTGTCGTGGTGTTTTTGACGCTGCAGACTTGAACATGAGGCTCAATCTCGATTCATTCTAAGTTTAACTGTTCACTGTTTTACGAGAAAGATGATGCATGTCTGTATTCAGCACAGTTGTATGCTTTGAAATAATTTAAAACATGGCGGTCCCTACGTCACGAATAAGACTGAAGAAAAATCGTATTAGTGATGCCGAAAAGAAAGCCATCGAAAGGAATGATCACTTGGAAAGAACTTTACTTCGCGAGAAAACGTTACTGGATAAGCAATGCGATGCTCGCTTAGCATGCCTCGAGAATAACCGCAGAAAGTTCAACGCACGTTCGCATATACATAATCTACCAGTCATATTTCAAGAGGTACCAAGTGTAAAAACCCCTGCTATTGTGAAAAGATCGAAACTCCCGGACATTTCATTGACTGGATCTCTAACCAAAACCCACTCAAAGGTGAATGATCGGCATCTGGCAGTTATTGATTCATACGTATGGGGAGATTTCACAGGAATACATTCTCCCGAAAGACGCTTTCCGAATAACAATCGTCAGAAACAAAGAAAAGAGGCATTACCAGCGATTCAGCGCCACAGTTTTTCTGGATATGACGCAATATCAGTCCAAAGGCTTGAATGTTTTCTCGCGATTTTACCGATTACTAATACAGACACTAACAAGAACCGGATATAGGGGAAAACATTCCTATAAAAGTGATTTTTATGTAGTTGTAATCTTTCACCTGGATTTAAGATTTGATGACGGACGTTTCACATAAGGTATCCTTTTAATAGATTACATCAATGCCATTAGTTAATTGACAAGTGTTTAACGTACTTCAGCTGGCGTTGCCAAGTATAACACTAACAGGAGAAAATGTATACCAATCTATATTTCATATATAGTTTATGTTCAAGTATTGTTTATATCACCTTCATTGAGATGACCAGGAAGAATCTTTGAATAATAACAATCAGTAATTCGAATATACGTTTTAGTTTACCTACTTTTATATTTTTTATAATTCATTGCCGGTATTTATTATTATACAAAATGGCATAATTTCGATGCTCTACTGTCCAAAATACAGGCCAATGAGCACGTGTCTAAGTAGGTAAAAACCTGACACGTCATCAGAATGACCATACATACAACTTTAATTCTGTATATTTGATATTTGTAAGCTGTCGTGCATAAAAGAGCTAAACAACTTACAAATGACAATTATTTAAAATACAGTTTGTTAATGATTCTTGTTGACATGATGTCATCACCAGTTTGAAATTAAACATTACATAATTAAATTCGGTAAGATAATTATGATAATAAAAATGATGAGGAGGTTACTAGTATTAACAATACAATGGTTCGGTATGTTGAATACAAATCATTTTAGTTCCTAAACTTAAGTAATAAATTCAATGTGGTTTGTTCAACTTCAAAATATGTGAAGTCTTTATTCGTGTATACTCATATGGGTGTGTCTGAGCGCCTTTATTGTGCGTGTCAATGTTCACTGTATTGTTTATCTTACATTACTTATATACTTAAGTGAATAGTTAATGATTGTTCAGTGCCGCTACGGTATAACATACAATATAGTAATTATGAAATGCTAAAACTAGCTCTTCCCTTGTATTCACTGTTTGAACAAATGACCGTCAATGAATGACGACGAAAAATAATTATCAAATATTGTTCCTCAAGCATCGTCCGATAACACTGTAGTTTTATTTATAGAAAACCGTTCTTTACACTGGTGTCGTGATATTTGTTAGCGATTCTTTTCGTAAATCTTCACACATTTTCAATACGACACTACCAATATATTGGACATCAAAGGCGTATACACTCAATTCAATATTGCCTGTTTGTGTTCGTCAAGAGCATTTTTTTTCCTTCAAGGTGTCCTCTGGGGCTATATTATTAGGAATTTAATTTAAAATTCAAGCCATGATTAAGTCGATTGAAATATTCTTCCTTCAATTTCTATTTTGCTACAATGTCATTGGAATTAATATTGATGGATATTCAGCCTGAATGTTTCGAAAATCTTGTGGGAAAAGAATAAAAAAACGTGGAATAAGAGAAGGTAATTCTATAAAAGTTCTACTAACATTCAGATTAGAGATTGCCCGTAACGTCTGTTACATCAAGTGGAATAAAAAAAACATTTTCTGTATTAACATTGCAATGTTTAATTCTTTACATAAACGTGTGTAAATTATTACTTAGATAGGCTGTTTAACCAATTCTATAGTGTACAAGTAGTTTTGTGAATTGTCAAAAGATTAGTGGCGACGCGAAATGTATTCGCGTTGATTCTAACATTCACTCCACGTTATAAACTATGAAACGCACTCAGTTAATATCATTTAAACACCAAAGCATCTGGTTTAATGATTCATGAAGGATTATACATTTACAAACACAACAAAATACAAGAAAATACCAAACACTCTATTATCGTCACATGAAAACACGCGCATATTACTTGAAAATTATTTGTTTTACTTTGAAATGACATTTAAGCTGTACTTCTATTCAACATATATGTGTGCACTGAGATAATTTGTTTTTTTTGGAATTGAAATTCGACTAGTTTTTCTGTCATAGGCATGTTGTTTCAGTTCCAGAATTGACGGTGGCAGCACCAGGCATCTCTGATTCCGAGTAGATGTCAACTGAAATTTGATCGCACTCGTTAGTTTGTGTGCTCACTGACGTCATCGTTGTAGTATTAACATTATTCGTTTTGTATGACCCCTTGGTAGCAGCGCTAGCAGTATCACATCGATGACATTCACAAATGCACTGCCCAGCATCTTCAATCAATTCCTTTCTTATTTCATTGGACTCAAAGCAAAGATTATCTATCCCTACGTTGTTCAAATATCCATTGTTTTTTCTGAATCGTAAATTTTCTGTGGTAGAATTCACATCATGGCTAACAGTAAGCGATGTACTTCCGTTCACATGAACAGACAGGTTTCGATTGGAATTCTTCTTATTTCTTATTTGTCTATCCTCTTTTACAGCGGTGCGTCGTCTTTGTAAGAAATTCACAAGTATTTGCTCTGGCCTGTCGGATTTCTTTTCCCGGGTTTTAGCGTAACGTTGAACGGCGGTTACCTTTTGGAACGCGTTATTCCAAGCGCGACGCGCGCGTTGCGTAGTGTCATTATCCAAGCCGACTGTCACATCAGGGATTTCATCTTTCTCCTCTACAATACACTTTTTTATTTTGTCGTATTCTATGCATCCAATAGAGTGCTCAACTAAGTCGGCGCCGAGTATCTCCTGGTCGAGACTGAGTCGGAGACCGATAGTGAGGTTGATTACTGTTAGTAGCAATGAGGAGACGAGTATGCACCAGGCAGATATTGTAAGTATAGCTAAGAGTTGAATTCCTAGAAGATCAAATTTCCCAGTCTGTGAAAATAATTATGTTTAATATTGATGAAGTTTATATTATGTTATATTAATGGTATGGCGAAAAAAAAAAAACATACAAGTACTGTTCCTTGTCGAAATGTGAGAGTACTCGAGTGGACAGTTATAATCGCATATTCCCAGAAGATCAAGCCAAGCAATTACAGTGGGTTAAATAACACTACTGTGCGTGTGCATAGTTTTACTCGTATCGTAAATTTAAAAAAATTCGCATATCTGTTTGCACATAATAATAATATATGCATATAATTAATTTGTTTATATTTCTCATATCTCTGGTTCTAATTATTTTATACAATAATACTGTACTAATTAGATGGAATATTACAAAGTTGTTGTTGACTGTATACTTAAAAAATGTATCTGCTCTTGTATCTGGATTGCTAAATAAAGTCTAGATATAGTATGAAACAAGATAACAGGCGGTACTAGACCGTTGTGACAAAAATATATCAATTATTGCCCGTGACAATCTGTAATCAACATTGTCAAGACTACTTACATACGTATACACCTAATGATTTAGTTAAATCGTTAATTGTATGCAGACTTTTCATCAACTGTTTTCAGCGAATAACGATCCGCATACCAATAGTGTTTTAGAGAGAAATCTGCAAGACAGCAATTACAAACGCCGCACTAAGCTATGTAGCTTTCGATTTTTCTTTACGAATTGGTTGTTGTTCGCAGCCTTGTATCCTTTAGTGTACTCACCGTTGTCAACCCATCTGGTCCCTTGCCCGCCTTTATCTGCCGACCTAATATTCCGCCTGCCAGGAGACTCCAAGCACCGCACATGGCATGAACTGGCACCACACCGACAGGGTCGTCAATTTTCAATTTGTTCATTAGCTCAATGCCGGAGCAGGCAATAATTCCACCTATTGCTCCGATTAAAAAACTTTCCCAGGGGTGGGAGGCTGCACACGAACCTGGAGATAATAAAAGCTAGTTCATGATTTCCAACCTAAGTGTTCACAATATATTTTGATATTACGCTACCCCCGAGTCAGTTGCATATTTTGCATTTTGAACACAACCAAACACATGTCCACATTATAAACATATATAATTAAATATGGTTCGAGCATATCTGAAATTGAAAACTGGCATTTTATAATGACTAAGCCAGTGTGACAAGTATTCATCTACATGTTACGTAACTTTGACGTACAATGAAATGATTTACTATCATTTTAAAAATATTAAATGGAAATATTAGCAAATATACCTGTTTTATATCTAGGTAAGAGATTAAATTAGAAAAAAACCTTCTCCAATTGGTTTGAAATTGGTTTGATATTGAACGGCAGATATAAACTACGAATTACGAAACATCAACATTTGATTGGTTGTTGCATCACAGCGCTAGCGGTGACCAATACAAACTTTTCCTGACTGCTTAATGATGCTACCATTTGATCTAAATAGTATAGCACCTTTTAAATGAAACCTTTACCATCTAAAGGAACTTAAACAAATGTGCTAAAATGTTACGAATTATTTATATAAAATTATTGTGTTGTCCGTCTACCGATATATAGCTTTTCTTAACAGCAAAATAGTATTACTGAATGATAAAAACCCGTTTTTCAAGTTGAGCTGGTTTTAAAGTAGTCAACGCACTTTCTATTGTACAATTATATCACAATGTGTAATATATTGAATTAAACTTACTTGTTATAGATACTAACGCTCCGAGAACACCGTTGATAATGTATCCAACGTCAAATTTTCTTCTTTTTGTCACGTAACTAAACAAAAAAACAATCCATTAAGTTATTCAGCTATGAACTCAGCTGACATAATTTTGACACTAAAATGTCTTTGAATTTATCTACATTTTATTTGTGTCTGCGACTGGCTAATTAAAAAAAAGCAAAAGAAATCTTGACGTATCCGAAGAGCTAGTTGTATGTATTTTGACCAATTATAGATTTTAGAGTAGAGCTTAACGTTATAAATATTAACATCAAATTCATTGTTCTCAAGATGAAATAGTTTGATAACAAATATCTTCCTTGAGTCAATTGTCGGTTCTTCGAAAAACTGACGAGACAATTTCCCTTATAAATAAACTATACAATTGCTCTTATCAATATTTCTAATACCATACATATTACATTAAATTCTGTAGCATAATGAATTGTCATTGTAACACCACGTCCACAGAGATCTCACCTGAGGGTAATTGCCACAATTCCTCCAGCCATCGAAGAGCAAATCGTCGATACAGCCGACCTAGATGTATATATAATCAGTAAATCACTGCCATTAAAAACATGATAATATCCATGCGAGACATTCAGCCAAACACTATGCCATAAGTTTAGGATTACGATAATGCTTCAAACGGGTCGTAGTGCATTGCTTCACCAAATGCATATTATATCAACACATTCACCCTTCATATAACAAGCTGATTTAGAATATTATTCATTAAACACTATAAATACGTTTCGTTTTCGACATTGTGAAATTATTTTATGGAGAAAGCTAAAGTATTCGTTTAACTATATTTATAAGCTATTGTTCATACATGAGTACTGTAGTTGATTTCATTCAGCTGCTTCCAGTCATATTTCAATACAAATGAAATGCAATAATATCGAGATTATTATGAGTTTTCTTTAATATTCACGCATAATCGGTGATTATGAAAATTATTATTGATGTACATATGGAATACATTTCTCTATGAAATATTCTTAAAATTAGCTGTTTTAAGGTTTTTTTCCAAAACATTTAAAAAAAATGTAATGTCTTTTTGTAGTGTTGTTTCATACAACATGGCTCTTTAAAATATATGATATGGTGCTCATGCCACGTACATATACTGGGTATATATAATTTGGAAATTGTATGAAAACAGGGAGAATAATTTGAAACATAGCGCTATATTGGCGTATGTTGTATAGGTCATTCATTAACAATCAAAAGTACTGGAAATGTCATTGAAACACATATGTTGAATTCATGTCATGCAGAGATAGTCAGTGGTCTCAATTACCTTGCCGCTAATTTCCATTTTTCTGCCGTTATTCCATTTGTGCTTCCACAATTAAATCCAAGCCAACCCCACCTGGAATTGTAAAAGAGGGTCACGAATGATATCAGAAAATATTATGCTTCCCTCTCTAGTTGCCGAATATTATGTTGACCCCCTAAGTTGTCGAAAAATGTACGGAACACAAATCATCTACCTATGGCATCGACAATATATCTTGATGGACGTACTGTGTGTGCTACAACAACAATAACGCGCGGGAAATATTCTATACCAAATTATTTTATATATCTGGTAGCATTGTTCTTTATTGTTATATTGTCCTTTTATAGGACAGTCAAACAATTTAATAATGTCTTCTGTACAAATTTTTACCTCAAATATCTCGGATCACAAATTCATATTAATGTTTTATGTTATAATTCCATGGTAAACATATGGCATTCAATATCAAACTAAGGCCTGATCCGCGTACAATTTCATTTTTCATCAAATAACATCTCCGGGGAACTGATGCTGATCATAAATGCTTTGAAATCAAATTCTGGAGATAAGTAAACCATCTCGTTCTCTGAATTATAACTTAATATAAACCGTGTGTCTATTGTCATCGAATACCCACTGGGAAAATTCAGTTTAGTTCATAACACTATTCTTGGGACGTGTCTCAGTAGCCGCAAGCCATAAACATGTGTGACGAACAAACATAACCTATTAGTTATCATTCGAACAATCAAATTATAGCTTTTAACTATATCGTGATTTTCACTTATATTTACTAAATAATACACGTGATTTATTTTGTGCCATGCATTGGAATACTTGGTTTTCGTGTTCTATTTCATTTTATTGCAAATAATATTTTTGTCCTCGTTTCCATCACAATATTGTATGCAATAACACACTTATTTATGTAATTAAACAATTCTGATTACGTCACGTTCAGATTGCGTTACGTAATATGTTTATGTGTGATATTGCAGTCTTTCTTTAAAAACATTCTCGGTATTAGCGGTCGTTGAATTAAAAACAATAGACTGCTTCAATGTTACTGGTGCGAAATATAAATTATAGGCGCATGCGCAAACAGTAATGTCATGGTACAGTGTCCATGTAGATATGTATTTGAACAAGACATTGCAAATTTAGAAATTTATGATAATTGCTTCTCCAAACTATAACCTTGCCATTTTTTGATGGTACTATATACGAATATAGCATATGTTAAGGTTCCGTACACTAATATTGTCATCAGATTCAAAACGTATTTATCATTTATGCAAAGTTGTTTTAGGTTGCAATGTTACACCGTTCAAAACGGGAATATACTTACAATTCACAACATTTCGACGTGTTAGAATAGTTAACATGTAAGTGTTGTGCTGCAGATTTGTGTGGTGTGGGTGGCGTGGTGTGTATGAAATGATTAAAACAGCAACAATACAAACCATAACATAAACATTCCTAGTATGGCGTTGGTAGGAGATCCCATAGGTGGCGGTGATTTAGATGAGTATCTCCGATGCCGCGGTTTCAAGAATATAGTAGCAACCAATCCTGTTATCCCTCCTGCAATGTGCACTGGTCCCGCACCTGCTATATCCAATACACCGAGCTGGTAGAGAAATCCTCTCTCGGCCCACACCCAATGTGACGGGAAACTAAACACAAGGGTATTGACAAATGAGAAGACGATGTATGCTTCGAGACGCGTGCGTTCCACCATTGCTCCTGATACGATCGTTGTTGCCGTGGTTGCGAATGACGCGTGAAAAACAAACTGGGAGTAACGTGTTCCCATCTCTGTGTCATTCGCTTGATAGAAGAAATCTCCAAAACCACTAAACGCATTCGCTCCTGGAGAGTCTCCAAAACTAAAGGCATAACCAAACATCCAGTATGTAATACCTCCATAAATTACATCCACTGCATTTTTCACCATAATATTGACTTCATTTTTCAATGTTGCAGTACCACTTTCCAGTAAGCCAAAGCCTAGAAAAAATACAAGGTTGGGTGTTGTGTTTACAAACTATATGATTACTACGTGCCAGTTAACTGCCGCGAGAAGAGTCTGAAATGAGGGATTACATATTTCGCCTTCTACGTAGTTAGTTATTTAGATGACCGTTGCTGTTGTTATTGTTGGCAATGTAACATATGGTATATTTGATATGCAATAAATTATAGTTGAATATGTTGCATATATATATACATTATATATTTTCTGTATGTCCCCCGTGTCGAAATATTATACACGAGGTTAACTTCAAATATAAGAATTATTTTGGATTGAATGCATATTCAAAATGGCGAATGTGGTGCTTACATATTCTCCCCCATTATACGCTAACTGTGCTATCAAAGTTAAACCTTACGATTAGCGTAATTTGTCAAAGTTTAAGTTCAAAGTTTATGTATGTATATTTGATATTAATTAAATTTGTTGTAACAGTTTATAATGGTGAAAATTATGGAAACTTAGAACGTGCCCCCACCAACCAATTTAACAAATGTCTTCGTGGAAATGGTGGCGTTAATTTACGGTTGATATTACTTTTAATAGGAATAAACCTACCTGACTGCATGGTAAATATAACGAATGCGCTGCTCAGTATCCAAGTGGCATCGTCCCATTCGTTCGGTAACATGTATAATAATATCGTTGTGTTATCACAATTTAAACTAGCGTTGATAGTCATGATGTTATCGTACTGATGCGACGACCGCAATTAACATATTCCTCCTGAAAAAAATAATATTATAGAACTATAATGATGTATTTACCCGACCGAATAAGTTGGCATTATTTCCATCTGATTTATTCATGTTAGTCGAATATTTTTTTAAGATTGGTGTGACTGGTTTTCGTGTTTGTGTGTCATTTAGAAACAGGGACCAAAGCTGTGAAGCCCAAGCACAATATACGTTGAATGTTCCCTATATGATTCCATGCCACAACCAAACACACTGAGTCAAAAATAACAAATGAACTTACTTTTTTTGCTAATGAATTTTCAACTTGTGATTCTGACCGCGACGAATGAAGCTAATATGATGAATTTGTTTTGACGTCATTTTGATATGTCGAGTCACAAACGCGACGAAAAAAAACAAGGTCGTGTTACAGCGCAAGCGCAAATGAGAACATTTTTGTTGTATGATCAGTGACATTCATACGTGAGTGGCGTGATCTTCGTTAAACGCACCTACACTCAACGGATGATTAGACGTTAACATTGTATTGCCAAGGGCGGCGAGGCTATGGTTACTAGGTAACATCAATGAAGCTCTTATAACCAGAAGTAACAAACATAAGTAACGAACCATAAGTAACGACTTCATTCTATTATGTTCAAACGCTTTGATTGTATTCTGCGACTCGTGACTCGTAAAAAATACAGTTAATGCAATACTGTAAAATACGTCTTTTTAGTTACATGTTATTCAACTAATTAAGCTAATCTGTAATTTCGCTAATTCAAGATGTTGCTAACTTTGAATAAAGTATATTCTCACAAAGAGATTGTTGTCACTTAAGCTAAATTAAGATTCATGCATTGAGCCAAATTTGCTGAAAGGCCATATAGCGATGTGTGAGTAAACAAGTTTTACAGTACTTACAAACAGACAGACTACGTCAATGATCACGTGGTGTGTGTTCTCCTTTTTCTAAATTGCGTTATATTGCTACCCACCTGAGTTAGTACTGACTCTATTCTCAGTATGATCCTTCCTTAATAACATCTTTTTCAAGTTTATCATCATTCTATTACCATATCTGGCACTACGGTACGCTGCCATCAGAAAACA